AATTATGGGTTAATATAAGTTATAAGAGTAGATAAGAAGCCTGAACTAATAGGCCAATCAGCTTATAATTAATGTAGACATCTGTGTATTTCTTTGGGATTGAATGACTGTGGGATCTGGTGGAACAGAAAACTCAGTCAACACTTCCTGTTTGGTTAGATAATATTATATCCTTCTGGGGGTTTTTAAAGAGTTGAAGACAGTTATAGTTTTCCCTTAGTTATAATAAAAGATTAATTAGATATGAAAATTTCCAGATACAAATAGACTAAAGATTGTAACTAACTCTTGCTCAAACCTGTTTTGTTATATTTAATTTTACTATGTTAAAGTTAAAACCATCCTTTTTATTTAGACAGAAAAGGGAAGATGATGTGGGATTCCACTTTGTATGCTATGAATATGTTTTATTACCATTGGTTAATAATAAAGCTGCTTCAGCCTATAGCAGGGCAGAATATAGCCAGGCTGGAAGAGATATAGAGTAGGCAGTGTCAGAGAGACACCATGTAGCTGCTGAAGGAGACAGATGCTAAAAGCTTACCAGTAGGCCGCAGACTCGTGGCAATACACAGATTAATAGAAATGGGTTAATTCAAGATATAAGAGCTAGTTAGAAATATGCCTGAGTCACTGGCTAAACAGTATTATAATTAATACAGTTTCAATGTGATATTTCTGGTCTGAGTGGCTGGGAAATTAACGAGCAGTTCCTGTTTATATAACAACTGGTGGGTTATTAGAAACTAGAACACTCAAGTAATAAAAGAATTAACATGTGAAAAACTGTATATCCAATCCCCCCTAGACCACAAATCCATAAGCCTTATGGGTCACTCAGATGACAGGAATACATTCATATGGACCCACCAATGACAAACAAATAAGGATAGTTGATGATGTCCCAGTATCATTAAAGAGAACAGTGCAAGGTACCACATGAGAAATGCCTGAAAGATCAGTTACACCAGTCTGCTACTTTTTATCATTATAATAGCCAGCTATTTTTAAGCCTTAATTTGTTATATGTTATAGCCAGGTTTTTATAATTGGTAATCACAGAACTTATAAACTTTAACATGTATTATCATTAAGTTTTACTTTTTATATACCTTATATACCTTATCCAGCCTCTGTATACCTTAAATAACTTATTTGGACCTTTATAACTTATAAAAAAGCCTTTTTATTTTTTATTTTATAAATATATTTCCATTTCACTCTTTAAATATAAATTCTTATTTAAATATTTTTATCTTGCTGGGTGGTAGTGGTACACGCCTTTAATCCCAGCACTCGAGAAACAGAGGTTGGTGGATCTCTGTGAGTTTGAGGCCAACCTGTTCTACAAGAGCAGCTAGGACTGTTACACAGAGAAACCCTGTCTCAAAAAAAAAACCCAAAATTATCCTCATAACCTTTTCTGTTTATTAATACCATGAGATTTGATAGTCATCAAGATAAATCTTGCCACTTTTTACTTTTTATATAAAATTGGCTGGAAAGGCCTGTTCCAAGCCATTATCTACTTAAGTAACTAAGATCCTGCAGAGTCTATCTTAACAGCTCCTTTCTGGCAACAGCTGTAACATTTTGTTGGGTTGGGTTGGTTTTTTGAGACAGGGTTTCTTTGTGTATCCTTGGCCATCCAGGAATCCACCATGTAGACCAGGTTGGCTGTGCACTGAACCATCTGCCTTCCTCTGCCTCTGTACTGGGATAAAAAGAATGGGCCATAAGCACTGGCAATTGTTAACTATTTTTTGTTATTGTTATTGTTGAAAGTTGTCAATCTTAAAGTTTTATTTTTTAAAATTACTATGTAAATGTTATGTATCATGTAAAAACTATCAAAATTAAAACAAAATATTAAAATAAAGCATAAATATCTTTTTAAATGAAAAGCTGGGGTCATAGGTAGTTTATGGTGGCTGAAGAAGAGAGGGAAATGATAATTTTTAAATCTCTAAGGAAATGTTACCAGCTCAATTTTAGTCTTTATTTTTGACTTTATTTTATCTTTTAGGCTGCTCTGTTCTTTTTTCCTGTCACAGAGCCAGAGGATCAGCCTGATGGTTTGACCCAGGAGAAGGCTTTAAAGAACATTTTGAGAAAAAGCATGTTAAATATGAAATGGGAGGACCAAACTCCATATTCTAGAGTTGTTCTTTGGCTTAAACAGCACAGGGCATTTTGACAGAAGCAGCTGCTCTGTTTTGATTGAGAGGAAGCTCCTTTGCATTATTTGCATCCAAAAGAGTGTTCAGAATTAGAAGTTGGAACTGGTAAGACCAGATGTGTAGAAATTAAGTGGAGAGCAGGAGTGAGAGCAGAAAAAGGACTGGAAGGTGAGAAATGTTTTAGAATTTCTGTCATGAAGTTGTTTGAGTTAGTGCCTGCCTATCCCTCTCAGGCTCTTTTGCCCCACCTACTCTGCACCAAGGCTGTGGCTCCCCAGGCCTGCAATTGTTCTTTTGAGAGGCTAGTAGGTGGGTCCAGGACCTAGGCTTGGACTGCTGTGTCTTGCAAAAGCAGCCTGGGGCTCCAATCTTCTCAGCCACCACTGCTCTTCTGATCATCTTTAAAAAACACATACACACAAGGTTCCTCACTTTCTAGTGGTTTAGCTAACCTTCCAGAGTTAAAGCAACCACCGACCAACATGGCCTCCAGCTCCTTGCAGCTGCTATGATTTTGTTGTTGTTTCTATTTGTTTGTTTTGTTTTGTCTTTTCTCCATTTGTCTGTAAAGTACCCTGCTGTAGAAGGGGCATTTGGCTCAATTAAACTTGTGGGAGCCATTGTTGGTGATTTTTATAACGGTATCATCAAATAAATTTTTCCTTTTTTCTGTAACATCATGACACAAAAGAAACTTAAGCACTGGCATCACATTTTGTTTTTAGGATCTTTTTATCCCTATTTTTTGACATTTTATTTTTGCCTTTTGTTCCCTTCCCCCAAGTCTGTTTTGGAATAGACTCACCAGAAATTCGAGGCTGTTGAACTACAATTAAATCAGTTTAGCCTGTGGATCTGTTAAATCTAATTTCATAGTGCAAATCTATTAATCGGGAACTTATTTGGGCTTCATATGTCTTTAAATTTTTTACCTACATGTTCACATGTGTTTAAATTTACAGGAAATTTATCAGAGAAACAAGGACAGATTTTTTAGAATGAAAATAAAAACATTTTGAAGTGCTTTAGCAATTCATTCTAAGAACTAAAACAAAAGCAAACAAAGCATCTCAAGGGGAAAAAGTGCTCTTTAGAATTTAGCTGTCCCATGTTTTACTGCTGACTCTTCACCTCTTTTTTCAGGCAGTCTTCCTGTCATGATGTGAGTGTGTGTGCATGTGTAATATATATAATATATTTATATACATATAATATATGAGTATTGCTGATTATATTATGTATAATTATATATCATATCATATACTACATATGATATATAATGAATATTGCTGATTATATATATATGTATATATTATATATACACACACATATGTATATATTCTCCTGTACTCTGGAATCCTTGCTCATGTACAAGTTTGACCTGAACCTGGAGGTCATTCTTCACTGACTGGATCCTAAAGGGAAGGCAAAGTGTAAATCTAATTAATCTTATCAATAAAACCAGGAGTCAGAAATCAGTGTAAACACCTGAAAGATCAGAGAAGCAGAGGAGCAGCCACAGTCCCTTCCTACTGTAAGATACGGCAAGGGATATGGTAGATCCCTGTAGTGGCATTTCATTTGTATTTTAATAAATAAAACTTGCCTAAGGATCAGAAAAGTAAAACAGCCCCACTATTCAGCCTTACTGACCCTTTCCACTCTGCCATCTTGTGCATGCGAAAAGAGCAACAACCCTTTAAGTGCCCCAGACAACTCTGCACTTCAGGAGACAAGTGGTCCACGAGAAGAGGGCACATCTGAGAATGATAGAGATTCCCCTTTGGCTACTCTTAATATGGAAGGGACTGGGCATGTGCACAGTAGCTCCTCGGGGCACCTCAGATATGGGTATGTGATGTCTCTATACAACACTTGCCGTTCCATCCTAAAAGCTGCCCTCTCTGCTGTATCCCTAAGCGAGTTGACTGAGGAGGAAAAGGAGGAGGAGGAAGAAGAGGATGGGGAGGAAGAAAATGGAGGAGGAGGGAGATAATGAGGAGGAGGAAAAGGGGGGGAAGGAATACTCAGAAAACACGTGTATAATCTGTGTACTATTCAATAACAAAAAAAGTCCATGAAGTCGCAAGCCACAAAGGACTGAGAAAAATCAGCACTTTTTTTCCCCCTGGAAATAAGCCAATTTTAGCTCTTGCTAAATACAGATCTTGTGGTGGTAAATTAAAATCCTAAATATGCCCCTAGAATTTATGTGCTATCTAACCATCTGCATTGATTCTGTGTCCTTGTCTTCCACACCCTGGGGTTCACCTTGCCCTCTCATGAGAAGCAGCTGCATTTTATAGCAGGCAAACGGATATGGCTTATATCAGAGTAACTTCACACAAGTTAGGTATCTCAAATCAGGAGACTGTGTTCTCTCAGGTCCCCGACCCCAGTCAATGTTACCAGGAATTTTCTGAAGTTCAACTCTGGCTGTCAGTTTGCCAAAGGATGACTAATATTTCTTGGAACTCAATGATACATAGTTTACATAGCAAGTAGGGCATTTGCTTAAAAATTTGCTACAAGATAAAAACTACCACATAACACTTAAACTTCATGCTACCTGAGTAATATTTAGGATTCTCTAGGTAAAAAGTAGCTGGGTGACACCCATTCTTTATTGCCTGAGAGAAACTCCACAGAACAAGAACAAGGATGGGCCACTGTTGATTTCCTCTTCATCACAGATTTATCAGTGCATTGGTATTGACTCAGGACCGGATTCCAGACTTGTGACATGGTCCCTGCATGTTGTTCATATGCTGCATGGGGTTTGACATGAGAAAGGGCAAAGGGAGTCCAGACACTAAACACTTATCATCAACACATTTATTTATGCATTTCAGAAAACAGTAGGACTAAGGTGAACATCAGCAAAAAGTCATTTCATGGCAGTTTTCCTTTTCCCTAAGGCCAAGGTTCTTGAAGCTTTGTGGGTTCACTGCCAGAGCCACCACAGGAGGGGTGTCCTCACTTCTATCCCCTTTCTTGATGGCACAGCAGTCTGGGTCTGGCAACAGCACAGAGTGGGATGTAGCCTGCATGGCAGTAGGGGCTTAGAGTCCCCCTGACGTTTAGAGGTTTATGCTCTGATGGACTAATGACAGGGCTATTATTTAGTTTTCCTGACACTGTTCTCTAGAGCATTCACTGCTCCAACCCTTCCCCAAAGGGATCAGGTGCTCTGGGATATCCACCTGGAATACATCTTTTCCCCCTTTTCTAGGTATGGGCTCTAGTAACCATCTGGGGTTTGAAATCGGAGTCAGGTACTTCTGCTGCACGTTGGTTAGCACAGCTTGCGTTTCCAGTTCGACAACCTCATCAGCAGTTAAGGTTTCGGGACACTGCAAAGTCTCTCCAATGTCAACAAGTCCTGGGAACAAAGACAGAAACAGATGCATTCTCTTCTATACAGCAAGGTTATTGTTATGACAGCAGGGTCACTACAGTGTCATTTGATGGGGTATAACATGTCACCAATGACAGAAAATAGGAACTGTTCTTGTTGAATACTGGGGACATAACCAATTGAACTAAGGGACCCTGGGTGAGGCAGCCACAGGCATTGAGGTAAAGGAGAATGGCTTGTCCTCTGTGCCTCCTGTTTTAAGTGACAGTCAGATTCTAGCATACTGCTAAGGCTGGCATTGATCTACTGAAAGAGCATCAGCCCCAGACAGGAAGCCTACAGTCAATAAGATTCCTAATTGGGTCACCAGGAGACTGAATTAGATGTTGATTGCTGTCTTACCCAGGGTCCTTTTGACAGGCATTAGGACTCAGGAAAGCAGCCTTCCTCTAGACAGCACACCACTTTTTCAGCGCTTATGCTGAACTGTCATAGGCAATGCCTTTTGCATATATTCATGCTCAAATAATCCAGTACTACAAACAGGTACTGACTTGACACAGGCTTTCAGAACACAACATAAACAGGATCTGAGACCTAGAATCAAGAGTAACTATGTGAATCTGTGGGACCCAGGCCTATGTACACCAATCTAGTTACTCCAATTTCTTGGGTCTGCTCTGCTTGCTAGAGGCAAGCAAGCACTCTCATCTAAGAGAGGCTTCCTGACTCAGCTTTAGCTGCAAAATTCTGCAGCGTTTTTAAGAGGTCCTGCCATGAAATACTTAAATGGTGTTGATGAAAAGCTGAACACATGCTTTTCGGTTTTCAGCTGTAGCAGGAAAAAAGCCACGCTGTTTTAAAATGCGGCTTTCTGGGCTGTCCTGCCAGGGCAAACTCTGACTCTTTCAGGCAGGCAGTCCAACTGAGTGTGATCTGTGAGCAGAATGCTGCAGCTTGCTTGCTGGCAGGGACCTTGAAACGCCACAGAGTTGTGGCAATAAAAATGGCTCCAGCAGTACCTCTGTCATGAGGCTGGAAAGCTAAGGAATGGGCTAGATCCAGCCGTCAAAGCCACAGTTTTAGACTCATGTGGTCAGAAAAAGAGAGAGAGATACAGTAAAGAGAGATTCAAAGACGGAAAAACCTCTAAATGGTTTATTATGTGTTAAAAATATATGCAGGCTAAAGGTTAAATTTCTTGGGGTAAAAAAGGAAGAAAGAAAGTAGTTGGGTGTGGTGGTACACACCCTTAATCCCAATGCCTGGGAGGCAGAGGTAGATTGACCTCTGTGACTTCAAGGTGTGGTAGGACACGCCTGCCTTTAATCCCAGCACTTGAGAGGCAGAGGCAAGTGGATCTCTGTGAGTTCAAGGACAGCCTGGTCTACAGAGTTATTCCAGGACAAAGATATACAGAGAACCTATCTCAAAAAGTAAAAGTAAAAATAAAAGGAATAGAGGTTAAAATAAAGCCACATAAAGATGGAAAATACACAGAGAATCTTGATACTGTATGCTATTATGCTCTCTTTGAATTGTTTGAATGCTGAGGAAGGAGCAACAGCTGCTAAAAGACTTGTTTATAAATGCTGCTGAACTAACCCAAGATAGGTATTTTGAAAATACCTTGGCTTCAAAACTGAAGTCAAAAGGTATGTTACTTTGGAGAAAAGATTTTGCTTTTGTTTCCGCAGAAAATGAGAGGCTGTGGATTCATTCTGAGTTAAGAAAAATCCAGTTTGACCAAGGGAGACCACCTGAGAAATCTCCAGTAGGAACAGGTGGCCCAGATGTCTGAGTTCTTCATCCAGAACAGGTTCAAGACTGCTGCCTGAGATGATCACAACTCACAGGATACTCCAGTCAGGACATGATTATAACTCTAAATTTTCTTTAGGTCTCTATAAGATCATCAGCGCCCCCAACCAGCAGGAAGTAGCCTGGAAGATTATGCCCACATTCCCAACAAATGGACTATGGGTATTTTCCTTTTTTTTTTAAAAAAAGAGGGGGATGTGGTGCGGGAGAATTGTCTGTAATCTGTCAATCATATTTTAAATAAATACTGATTGGCCAGGCAGGAAGTATAGGTGGGAAAATCAGACAGGAAGTAGAGGTGATGCAATGAGAACCGGAGAATTCTGGGAAGCAGGAAGCTCCCTCCACCATTCCTGCCCAGATCACCGAAGAAGCAACATGTGAGCTGACAGCTGAAAAAGGTACCAAACCATATGACTAACATAGATCAGAATAATGGGTTAATATAAGCTATAAGAGTTAACAAGAAGCCAGAGCTAATGGGCCAATCAGTTTATAATCTTATGGAGTCCTGTGTGTGATTTTCTTTGGGGCTTGCTGGCTGTGGGGTACTGGGAGGGACAACAAGCCAGCCCTTCATGTTACAGGCTGCTTAGAAACTTTAGCACATACCCTCTAGCTAAAAGCAAAACAAAGCATGTTTTGAATTATTTTGAATCGTGTATCAATTGTTTACTTCTTATTTGGTACATCCTCACTTACCAGCTATCACACCTCGGCCATATTTTTCTCCTTCCTGTAGTAAGGTCTGAATCTGCGCCATTGTCATTCCCAATCTCTCTACCAGCACCTGCTGCCAGGCATCATCTTCCCAGTCCCTGTGAGCAATATGGATGGCGATGGTACATTTCTGATGGTTCCTCAACAAGGGACGCCAACGGGTCTCAAGAGTCTTGACTCCATTTAAGATTAAACCAGCATAGGGCTGCCGGAAGGAGAGGCAGGGAAACTTCATTTTCCTCAGAGTCTTTGTGCCTAAACACAGAAGCACATCACAGCTCAGCTCTCCAGGCTCACATTCATTAGGCCTCACCTTCCCCAGAGGCTTCCTATGTGCCCTGAAATATCACTGAACTCAACATGCTTCTTGTTAAGGTTGATGATGCCCTGCTCAATGTCAGGCCCAATGCCAATGGCTGCAATTAGGATGATGCATGGTCCACGTAGTCTTGGGGAGCTCACAGAATAGAATGGAGATAGCTAGAAAAAGGTACCATGAGAATAGCGTGATCAGTGCTGACAGAGGTCACTGAGCTGTAGGGAAACACAAAGGAGGGAAGGCCATCTTGACCTAGTCAGGCTTTACATCTGAGTAGGCTGGCTTTTTAGCACAGAGTGACAGTCTAAGCTTTCGTCTTTTTCTTCCTGTCTATGTCACTGTACAATACTTTTTGCTTTCTGGCCCTGTCATTATAGGTCATATAGGACTGGAACTTCCCACTTCCAATCAGAGTTACTGAACACCAATCCTTGAAATGGAAACTTGATTTACTTTTGGAATTCCCTTTGACCTCGAGTAGCCTCATCTATGTCTCCTCCTGGGTCCTGTGGGGGTCATGCTTCTCAAGCACTTTGTTGCAACCCATGACCTGAGCCTAAGTAAACAAATGATGACACTATGCACTAGGGTAACAATCCTCATATACTTTCTATGTTCCAGTTCCTAGGTGATCAGGATCTTTGGATAGTGAATCGTATCTTCAAAGGACTCAGCAGAGTCAGTATGACTATTGGGACCCTAGTATAGTCAAGGGAAAAAAGATGCTGAGTGAGAAAGCAATGGCCTAGGGTGGCAATGTCCTGATTTTGCACATCTCCTATCTAGATCCTTGCAGTCTTGTGTGTTCCTTGTGAGAGACACACTGTGCCTTAGAAACTAATAGGGTCGTACTGACAGAGCCAGGGACATTAAGTCAGAACCTCAGCTCAGTCTTAGCATACCACCCAGTTTTCATTTGCATGAAGTGCCAAGAATACATTTCCTGCAGACAGAGCCAAAGGTGACCATTTTCAATATTGTGGCAGCAGGAAAAACAGGGGCACTGAGCACAGGGCTACATCCTGGCTCTGCTGTCTACCCATGAACTGCCCCTCCACTCCATTCTGGTTTTGGCCTTTCTGACCCTTTTTAAAATATATAACCATAGTCTCATGGGTCTCCTTCAGTTACATGACATGGCCCTTCCAGGATAAAAGCAGTGTGCCAGGCATCCCTTTCTCCCATCATATTTCAGCTTGTCAAGGCTGGCAGCACTAACAGTCCTACTTAGATTTAACTATCAACTTGATGTAACCTAGACTCACCTCAGAAGGGAGTCAATTGAGGGACTGTCTAGATAAGATTGGCCAGTGTGGACATCTGGGCGGGGAGTTTGAAATATTAATTATTGTAGGAGGGTCCAGCCTACTGTTGGCAGTATACCACACCAAGGAATGTGATCTTAGGCTATATATGAAGCTAGCTAAGCATGAGTCTATAGGCAGGCAATGTAACAGCATGCCTTCTTGGTTTCTGTTCCTTGGCTTGAGTGAGCTCCTTGGTCACAAGTAATACTATGTTGAATAGTATACAGGTCTGGCTTCAAGTTTCTCCCTTAAATTCCTGCCTTGACTTTTTCCAATGATAGGCTGCAATCTGTAAACTAATATTCTTTCTACATCAGATTGGCCTGTGGAAGAATGTCTAGATTATTAATCCCCAGGCAGGTGGTCCTGAGCTGTACAAAAAACCTAGCTAAACATGAGCTTGTGAGTGAGCAAGAAAGCAGTGTTCTTCTAGGTCCTAGACTCTAGAGCGTTTGTCCTGCCAGCGTGCTCTTGCTCAGAATCACTGTCTGCACACCTCTTTTACCACACAATGGAAGTCCCTTCTGCGAGGCACTCATGCCTTCAGGCTTACCCTACCTCTTTAAAAATTGTTTACTTAATTTTAATGTTCTGTTCTAATTCAGATTTTATAAACATAACAAAGGACATCTTGTTACTTATGATTGAATAGACATGAGAAAAAATAATAAACACACCATATTTCTCCATATGATTCATGTATGACAATGCATAAATATTTTCCACATTTTTAAATTAATTTATTTTAAAAACTATCTTTTCTCATTTTACATACCAATCCCAGTTCCGACTCCCTTCCCTCCTCCCATTCCCTACATCTTTCCCTCCAATTCCACACACCCATCCACTCCTCAGAGAGGGTAAGGCTTCCTATGGGAAGTCAACAAAGTCTAGCATATTGCTTTGAGGTGGGACAAAGGCTGAGCAAGGTATCCCTCCAAAGAGCATGTTATCCTACCTTCTTTACACAACACTCGCAGCAAAAATCTCACAAGACTGCTGCACACACAATTCTCTGACCTCCCTTCCTTTCGTGCTCCATCCTGGACGCTCCTCACAAACCTAGTTTTATAGGTGTAACATGGAGGGGCCTGCTTGTTGAGGTTTATGTCCTGCCCAGTTCCCCACAGCCAGCAAGCCCCAAAGAAAATCACACAGAGATCTCCATAAGTTATAAACCTGATTGGCCCATTAGCTCAGGCTACTTATTAGCTCTTGTGGCTTATATTAACCCATTATTCTTATCTATGTTAGCCATATGGCTCGGTACCTTTCTCAGCGAGGCACCTCACATCTTGTTTCTTTGATGATCTTGGCAGAACTGCAGAGGGATCTTCCTGCTTCCCAGAATACTCCTGTTCTCATCACCCGCCTCCACTTCCTGTCTGGTTTTCCCGCCTATACTTCCTGCCTGGCCAATCAGCATTTATTTAAAACATGATTGACAGAATATAGACAATTATCCCGCACCATATAGGGAGAACAATTGGCCTATGGCAACTCTGCCTTCACAACACTTAATAGCTCAGCATCCCTGGTTGTCCCCTTTCCATGCTCGTTGGCCTGCTCTAGCTCCTATGACATGGCCCACACCTTCTTACTCAGGTGACTGATCCAGGCTGTTGGACTTGGGAATTCAACTTCTATGAACCCAAATTCACCGGCTTCCCATTTGTAAGTGCAGCCATAGTCTGTCCAATTTTTGTTGCCTAGATATAGTAGTAGCTCTTATGCTTTCTCTTTCCTTCTCCCACCGCCTGGTATGCAGCAGCACTTGCCTATGAATGCTTCCCTCAACATCTCCCATCCTATCCTATCAAGCCCTGACCATCCACTGCCTCTCCAAGCACTAGTTTTTTGGAGGTTCTGGGCTGTGAACCTTGCCTGCTGCCCTCTACTATCCACACTGCGCTTAGTACCTTGGTACTGGGGTCAGCAGATCATCTCATTCTTTGGCTGAAACCTGCCCAGGGCTCCTGTCCCACCCAGCCCAGACTCTACCCACTTTAGTAGGCCCCTCAGGGTCCCTTGTAATCTGACTGCCCAACCCAGACATTTCCTCTCTTCCCACTTCATTCACTGCCCTGCAGCGAAACCAGCTGAGTGCCCTTCTTTAGGGCACTGCAGACAAGCCTGCCCAGTAGATGAAGGAGTTCCCCGCTTTCCCTTGTCTTTGCTTCTCCACTTGCACAAGCAGAAGGCAGATAAAGAGAAAACAGCAAGTAAAAGATAGTTATATTGGCTACTGGCAGCAAGTTGTAGAGATAAGAATTAGGGCTGACCTTACAGAGGACACACACATGCTTCTCACTCAAAGATTGATTCAAAATCCCTTTCTGGCTGGGACAAGGACCACCTAATGTAGAAAGTTAATTCTGCAAGTGGTTCCCATTATTAATCCAAGCACACATGATCTAACAGGAGAAAAATAATGCCACACAGAATGTGGTTGCATGGAAATGTTCAGATATACCGAATACCAGTGTTTTCAGTTCTGTCTGGTAGATAAGACCGGGCATAGTATCAAAAATCACAGATCGGCACCCCTCACAGTCTGGGATCTCCGTGAATTCAGTCTAAAAGTAAGAAGGGTCCGGGGCCTGTGGAGCAGCATGGTGTTCATCCGCCTGCATCCACACTTCGGAGAGACAGTGAGATGCTGTCAAGATGGAGCAGGCAGAGACCAACCAGCTTCGAGCTAGACCAGCCTTGTGGGATGACCCAGGGTTACAAGTTGCACAGTCGGGGAAGTCAGAGCCTGGGGTACCTTCAGTTGGATGGGGAAAGCGCACAGGCTGACTCAGAGGTTACCTGTCCTTTGCTGTGGGTCTCTTCAGTGTTACTGCTTAGCACTCAGCAGACTCCAGTTTACAGAAGTCTTCCGCCTTTCAACGTTCCAGGAGGCCTCCAGTACCAAAGGCTCCTAAGCGTGGGTGGCTAACATTGGCTTGAAAGGAAGGAAAGCATTTGGCTGGTGCCGCCCAGTGTTCTGGGACTTTTTAACTCTAACTGCTTTAAATAGAGGAAGGCTCGCAGAGACGAATCTGCATCCTGTGCACATAATCTTGCGTAAGCACGCACAGCACGTCCTTCAACGTGCCTAAACATTCGCAGCCAATTAGAACTACAGATACCATTCATATATCAAAGATAGGAGGGCACAGACTTACGTAATTGAGCAGTAAGCCACACTGAATGCTAGGATATGTTGTAGGACTTACCGGTTTCTTAAAGCAATCTGGCAGATAAAGCTGGGTCAGGGTCTGTAGTAGGCGGCTGAGAAAGGAAAGAAGTGAGAAAAGGAACCGGGTATTTAGTGAGACGGGTCGGCAGAGACTACGGAAGTAGGAACAGTGTGCCCTGGTGCGGGGTGGGAACTGTGACGGAAGAGGCTTGCTGAGGAGGGGCTTGGAATGGGTCCAGGGAAGAGCTGTGAGCCCTGAAGTTAGGCGTCGGGTGCAGCGGGGCGGGGCGGGGCGGGGCGGGGCGGGGCGGGGCGGGGCGGGGCTGTGAGTACCGGGTAGGAGTTGGGAATGGGAGTTTCTACACCAAAGAATTTCTTGGGAACAGATGGGAATTGCCAGTGCTTGTAGTCTGGGCCAGGCAGTGATTAGAGTTGGGCGGGGTTGTGAGTACTGTCCTGCTTGGGTGAGGCTACCGGGTTACTAAGGCAGAACTTTGGATCCCAACTTTATTTGGCCCAGATCTACTTAATGAGAAGGGAAGGGCTGTGCATATTAAAATGACAGTGGTAGCCAGACTGAATATTTAGCAAGGTGGGCAGGACCTCAAAGTACCAGCCAGTGAGCGGTGAGATAGGTTGACGGAGCTGAGCCTTGGATCTTGGCAAGTGAGATGGAGGGCTACAGGAGGGGAGGAGTAGGGAATGGCTGTGCTTGCTGAATTAGGAGTGGTTGGTGGGGCTGTGTTTGCTGAGGTAGAGGTTGGAGGCCATTTAGGGATTGGTGGCGTACGAAGCAGGAACAGAGTTTTGGACATTGACATAATAAAGGCCTAGAAACTCTGAAAGAGAAGGGGGGCGTTTGTGGTGATATAGGAGTGGCATGTGGGGCATGCATTCTGGGTTAGTAGTGATGGGTGGTACTGCGTATGTTTGATGCCCGGGGGTGGGCGGGGCTCTGCGTGCTGAGGTTGGAGCGGTGGGCAGTGCTGTGCATGCTGAGGTAGGAGTGATGGGTCGTGTTGCAAGTGTTGCCCCAGGCCTGTAGGGTCTACAGAGTACCAGGAAGAGGCTGTAGTTATTAATTTATGGAAGGGGAGGGAGACCTTTGACTACTAAGTGACTATGGGCCACTGGACAGAGAAGACTTAGACTGTATGCTGAAGTAGGAGTGGTGGGTACAGCTAGCTGTAAGTGCTGACCTAGGGTATGTCTCAATAGAAACAGGCTTGGTTCTCAGTGGTGGTGCCATATGCAGTGGTGCTGGAGCTTTGGATATCAATACAGTATGATGCAGGACCACTGGGAGTGGAGGGAAGAGCAGTGCATGCTGAAGTGAGAGTAATTGGTAAGGTAGTGAGTGCTGGCCTAGGTGGGCAAGGCCTTGGCAGAACCAGGGGAATGCCAAGAGTGGTGAAGTATGACGCGGAGCTTTGACTACTGCACTGTGACTGCTGACCACTGCGGGTGAGTTCCTGGGAGCAGTGATGTAGGAAGTAGGGAGAGAGCTTCGGCTTCTAACCTGATGTAGGCTGGCGCTAATGGAGAAACAGGGCAGATGGTGTTGAGGATAGCCAGGGGCAGAGATGAAGGAGAAGCAGGGTGGGCCAGTGGGTGGTGTAGTACAGGTGGAGGGGCTTCCGGGAGAACAAGGTAAGGCTGTTAGTGGTTGAGTACTGTGGGACAGGAAGAAGTTCAGAGCAGACCTGTGGGTTACCAGGTAAGGCATTTGGAGTGGGGCTGCGGGAAGAGTAGCAGAGCAGGTTGTGAGAGCTGAGTAGGAGCAGTGATACGTGTGTTGCTGGATAGATGCTGGTGAGGCTGTGGAGGAGCATGGTAGATACAGTCAAAGAAGCTTGGGAGTGGCTAGGTATAATTGGAAGGAGACACTCAGAGATTGTGAGGCACATCCTTAAGTAAGGCAAAATGACAAGGAAGGGGTAACTTAGGGACCTAACCATATCCTGAGGGTGCTTTCCAGGGGAGCACCATAGAAAGCATGGGTGCTGTAAAAAGGCCAGGAATTTTTGTCTGGGACTCAGGTGGCCTTAGGCTGAGTCTTACAGAGCACGGCTGAAGTCAGCTTTCTTTTCTCCAAGCATACTGTCTAAAACTGCCAATGGCCCTGATCTTATTAAACCTTATTTCAAGTGTGGACTTGGCAGCCAAGCTCTGAGTTCTTACTTCTGAAGCACCTTAAGGAAATGTGTCCTCTTCCAGGTTCCTAGGGCTCCTTCTTGAGGACAGTCTTTATCTGCTGCTTGACTCTCCTGAGCCTCTGGATGAGACTGTCCTGGATAGCTCCTCTCCAACCATCCTCCACATACAGCCTTCTACGCTACAACTTCTCCTAACCCCATCACTCTTTTAGATCTTCTTGTTTTGGGGTCCCAGCACAAGATCTCAATCCTAGCTCTCTTCATCCATATTCTCTAGTGTGGATCAGGGCCATGCTGTGCACTTCCTTGTCTCTGACCCAATAGACTTCACTAGGTCAGTGTCTTAGGACTTCTCAGTGTCCATACTCTGCAATACCTATCTCACTTCTGTCTTAGCTGCCCCAGTCCTTCAAGACACAACTTTACCATTGAATGCCCCAGGTTTAGGCACTTTTGTCTCTCAGCTCTGGTAGCATTTTGCAAGGATCCCCATGTTTCTTGTGCTAGATTCATGGAAGCCACCCAAGACTGTAGCTGTTCTCTTAGAGAGAGAAAGAGTTCCTGCGTTCTCCAAGGTAAAGGGGAGAGAATCTGCACAGCATGTCAGGACATTAAAGACCGCTTGTCAAGATTCTCTTCTGGGTTGGCCTATCCTAGTGGACTTCTTCCTCTTTGGATGGCTGCTGGCTTCCTTCCGACACCTGAGCACATGCTTGGAACAGTTTCAAATCATGAGCCAGGGCACCCTGAATGTGGACTGCCCCCCTTCCCCTGTACCTGCTGTGTCAAAGAGCTGGAATTTGCCCGAGAAGCCAAATTCTTAAAGTAGATGTTTCCTAGTGAAGAATTATAGAAGGGCTCCCTATCCTGATTCATACAGCTCCCCCAAGAGTATGTTGTTGTGAGTATATTGAGTGGGGTACACACTATAACACAGTTTCCTTGGGGGTTGGATTGAACAGCAGAAGCCTGACCTGTTCCCCGGAATGAAAGTACAAGGTTAGTTTTCTACTGCAGTATCTAGAAAGCCTTGGAAGAATCACCTTACCGGGTGCAGGGAGAGTCTAATGGCATTTCCCCTGGACACCAGAATGTCTATCTGTCTTGACTTTCATTTGAAATAACAATTCATAACTGTGGTAGCTTGAATATTATTAGCTCCTACAAACTCATAGGGAATGGAGGTGTGGCTTTGTTGGAGTTGGTATGGCCTTGTTGGAGGATGTGTGTCACTGTGGGGGATAAACATTGAGGTCTCACAAATGCCTCAAAGCCATGCCCAGTGCTTTAGAACACTTCCTGTTGCCTCTAAGTCAAAACATCAGGACTCTCATGTCTGTAATGTAAGTACCATGTCTGCTAGCGTGCTGCTCTGTCTCATCATGATAATGGACTGAACCTTTGAGAATGTAAGCTACCACAATGAAATGTTTTTCAGTTATGGGTTTCCATAATCATGGTATCTCTTCACCGCAATAGAAACCCTAAGACGGCTACCAGTCCTGGAATGAGGTGCTTTCTGACCACTCCTCTCAGACCACCTTGTCCTTAGAGCCTGCCTTCCTGACCACTGCTCTCATAGCGTCCTGGTGGGCACTCAGCCAGCACTCTCGGATCATCCTTATTAGCCTTAATTCCTCTCCCCACTGACATTATACGGCCTTTGCCCAGTTGCTAGGGCGATGCTGCTCCCTAACAACTCCTGTGCTCCTTGTCGGGTGCTTCTCAACCTTTCTAATATTAGTGCAATCTTTTGATGGGCCTTCTCATATTGTGGTGACCCCAACCATGACATTACTTTTATTGCTATTTCATAACTGTAATTTTGCCACTGCTATGAATCATAATATAACCCGGAGGTTGAGAACCACTGTCCTAGCCCATAACTCCTTTGTCTTAACTCTTTTGCACCTCAAAAAAATGCTGCCACCATACCTCCCTTACTTATTTGACTCAGAACTACAGGATGAAGATGCCCTCTACCTGAGAGGGTTTGTTTTTGCTTTTGTCCTGAGTCCTAGGTTCCATGAGTCTGTCATCCCTTCAAATATTCTTTACTCAGTCCAGCTTCCTCCTCTGGCACACCCCCCCACCCGCCCTGTGCAGTTCTCTTGTTTTATTGGAATGATAGGGGACCACTTTCCAAGTCTCTGTGTTATTCCTGTGAGTAGAGACTCACAGTTACCTTATTAACTCTTCCTCCCCAGGGATCCTTTGCCTCTGTTTAAGGATTACTTTTAACTTAGAATTAACTAAGTGCTTGTAAAGATATTTGCATGTTAATGAATATCCCATTCCAGGTCCCTGGAGCCTGCAGCCTCCCATGGCTGGTGAGTGTTTCCCCAGAAGGAGCCTCCCTGGGCTGATGAGTGTTTCCCTGAAGGAGGTGCTCAGGCACTGACTCCTGGAGAAGGACTTGCCTTTCTTCTCTCTCACACTTAGAGACCACACAAGCTGGGGAAGCTCTGCCCTTCTGGGGGCCTCTGTGGTGATTGGATGTTTTTTTTTTCTCTCTCTCTAGCCATTCCTGTTGTGTCCCCTCTCTTTCTGATCCCGTGCTGGCCGGTTCCCCAGATTCCCTTTCACAAACTTCTTTCTTCCTCATCTAAGCAAATGAGATCATATGGTACTACCCCGAGTCCTACATTTATTGCTGGTTTTGACATTTCATATAGACAAGAAGAAGCCTTATCCCAGTAAGCCTATACATGAACAGGTTGCTTCCACTCTCTTGGGTAGGTTTTGTTTTCACACATACTACATGTGGATGGGAAGAAGTGGCATCTCAGTGACCCTGCAGGATGTGGCAGGCTGCTTTTGCTTCACTGGAGAGCTGTGGTGCCTGCAACAGGCTGGGGAAGCATACTTTGGACCTTCTAAGTTTCTTTAAACGGGCTTGTTGAGTTTTGAATTACAAATGTCCTCCATAGGCATATATATTTGAACAGTTGGTCCTCAGTGGTGCTATTTAGGAAGGTTATGGGCCTTTAGGACATCAAGCCTTGCTGGAGGAAACGTGTAACTTGGGGTGAAATTGGATGGTTTATAGCCTCATCA